GTTATTTTCCTTTTGCCCTGCATTGTGGTCTGAGGAAGACCTCGGCTTGAAGAGCACTGCAATGAGCTGAGGCTCTCCTGCTGCCTCCAGCAAATGCCCAAAGACACGTGCAGTGCCATGGACAGCCTTTGCCCCCTCCCATGGTGCAGACCTACACTTCTTTGGGCATATGCAGTTGCAATTTTTAATTTTGGGGCCTGGCAGGAGTCCCCCATAATGCCAGTCTTGGGTGGCATCAGCTTCCTTTCCTCACTGTAGCCAGTCGTTAGACTATTTCCAGCTCCAGGGACAGCACACAGAGTTCACACATGTTCACCTGGCCTCGCAAGCTCCCTATAGAGGTAGGAGCCTCCACCTGGCCCCACCAGCCGTGTGTCTGGCTGGCGCTGTCAGCATATTGCACTGGACAGCTTGGGGCCAGGAGGGAATTGCTCACATCTGTGTAGCTGCGACAGGATAAAGCAGAGCTGAAAATGACAATCCGTGGAAAACATGCTTAAAGGGATGTTGCCTTTGGAAGTTGCCTGTCTGTCTGGAAATGACATGTTACAAGGAACCATGCAAGTCACTGTCTCTGAAAGAGGGAGAATTTCTTTCGTTTTGATCAGAGCACAGGTTGGCAGCACCTGCTCGGTGCTGTCAGCTCCTCATTTATTCAGTGGGCTGGAGGAGAGAAGAGCATTTGAACCAGCTTGCATGCACCCGAGCACACGCTATATGCAGTGTAGATCAGTGCAAGTGCAGGAGAAAAACTGCTCAGCTCTGGGGCTTCAGGAGCCAGCAGTGCTCCCCTGCACCGGAGAGGGGGAATAACGATCCGCTTCAAGGGGGAGATTATTCAGAAATGTTGAGCTCCCACGGAAAATGCCTTCCAGGGGGAGAGTATCTGGACCCCCACAAAGTTCTCACCAGTGCTCTGCGTTGGTTCCAGGAGCCGATCGGCCCCCTTCCAGCTCCAAGAGGAGGGATGAGCTCCCACCTGGCTCGGTGCTTGGGTTGCTCCCTGCTCCAACGTGAGGGTCCTGGGGAGTCCCAGACAGACCGAGGGCTGTGTAGGGCTGTCTGCTGCCTCTCAGCCTTGCAGAGCACCAGCATCTGGCTCTGCCAGAGCTTGGCCTGCTCTTGTGAGAGTCCAGGAGGAATTTAATTGAAAACTTTGTATTTTAAAGGTATCAATAGAATGCATGTTTTGTCGTAGGTACTAGAAGGAGCAAAGCACAGCTAAATACTAGTTTTCAGAGTAGCTGAACCCTGTGAAAAGACAGGGAAGAGCTGTAGGAACCAGCTATATTTGATCACGTAGGACTTGTGATGATGGGGAAGGCTGACGTCTTGTTTCCCACCCCCCTCTACCAGTCTTCTCCGCTATTGCTTTTGGCTCCAATCTTTCCACCCATCCACCCACCGGCCCTTTATTCACCAAAGGGTGGTGAGGAATTTGCAGTAAAAATAAATTGAGTTTGTTTTCACCCACCATCCTTGTCGGCTGCGTGGGGAGTGCTGAGCAGCTCCTGCCGGGAGCCGTCGTGGTGGCTGAAAGAAGCAGAAGGTGCTGCCGCTCTCAGGCTCCGTGCACCGTCACCTCAGGGGCTGTGCTGACCCTTTGAGGTTATTTTCCTCTTGGTGTGGATGTCTTTGGGCAGTTGCCCTGGATCTTTCTGTGCACGACAAAACGTGTCTCCAGCGATGGTTTCTCAGACCGGGAAGCTTCCCAGTGGTGAAGCTGACTGCATGGACAGCTACATGGTTCAGGTTACTCCTTAGTAAGGAGGTGTAGTTTGCCAAGGTATGGAGAGATGTTGTTGAAAGACAGACACCCCACAGAGGAGTGCAGAAAGATAAGATAGAGCAGCTGGCCTCTTGCCATCCCAGATACTTGAAATAGCTTTAAGGAAGTAACAGATAAGGCAGCCCTGGCTTTGTTTTATCTTCCAACAAGGTTTGTAAGTCTTGTTTATCCCCCTGGGGCATCTCTCCGTTAGGCTCACAGGCCCTGCTAACCTAATCATGCAAAACTCACACTGGTGTTTGTATATCTGCTCGTGTTTGTCCTGTGCCTCGTTAGCTGAAGCCTAATTGTGTGGTAGGCAGGGGTGATATTTTAACCAGCCTTCTCAGGAAGAAGTGTTGCGCTCGGGAGCTTGTCTCTCACATCTGTGAGCAGTGTCCCCTGGAGCTGGGCTGTAACAGGGGTGGCCCATCAGGCTGGCCACCTTGGAGATAAGGGGAGAAGACACTGTAAAAAGAACAAGGCAATTTCACTCTATCCATGAACAGCCCCCAAATGCCTTGCTCTTTAGGCAAGTCACAACCACTTTGTGCTTTATTACAGCTCTTAGCTGTGCACTGCTAAAGCCCAAACTCTGGTCTGAGTGACCGGAGGTCTGAAGGAGCTGAGTGAGGTGCTCTCCCGTGGTGGTGGTGGTCACGATGGGTGCTTGGTGCACTCTGTCCTCCCAGGGCTCCCCTTCCCTTTGGCATGCCGGGGCAGCTGCCGTGAGAGGAGGATTTTGGAGGGCTTAGGGCAGAGCATTGCAAAGCGTCGAGAAGTGGAGAAGACTCAGTTTAGTGACAGCTGGGGTTGTTTTTCCCCAAGCAAGAGGACCTGAACCTGGGGTTGGCAAAGGACCTGTGTGTGAAGGCAGCTTGGAGCTGAGTCTATGGATATGGACCAATACCCATACCCAGTGGGGGTGTCCAAATACCTGGTGTGTGGGAGGGGGAGACTTCAGTGGTCTCCTCAGTGGTTGGGGGTGCCCTGTGTTTCGGGGAGCTGGGTGAGGAACTGCTGTGACTACCCGTGGTCTGTGGGGCAGCCGTGGGACGTGGCGGCATCCAACCTGCCGTGGGGTGCGTTCACCGGGCAGTCGTTGGCCGTTGGCACTGGGAGGCGATGCGGGGTGCTGGGCTCTGGGGAGCAGGAGGGTGAGTGAGGTGGAATGTAGGAAAGCTGTGTGGGGAGAGCTTGCAGTAGGGCCGCGTTCAGGAGGGAAACCTGGACTAAACGGAGTTTAACTGGGAGAGCTGCACGATGTGTGTGAGGCAGGAGACGTCCTCTGGGATCGAGTCAGCTGGTGAGGGCTTCTCCTTGGCAGAGAAGATCCTCCAGGAGAAGGGGAAGGCAAGCAAGGGATGTGAGCAAAGCAGTGGGAGCTCCACATGAGGTGTCTGGGAAGAACACACCTTTCAGTGACTCTTCTAACAGGGTTGAAACCTAAGGGGAGTTTGGGCCAGAGCGAGAGGAAGGAGAGATTTGGACATCCGAAATGATGAGGAATGGAGGGAAGTGCAGAGCATGGAGGCGGATGAGGGTCAAGGCGGTACTGTTGAAGCAGGAGGACTGGAAGGGCAGGGGGGCTTGCAGTTGTTGGAGTTTGTATTTATCTTTGCAGCAGTGATGACTTTCAGCTAGCGGCTTGAGAGAATTAAACCTGAGGAATTTCAGTAAGAGCTGAGCTGCCAAGTTGAAAGTTCCCCATGCCGAAACCTGCAGGTTTGTCCTCAACATCTTCTGCAAGGGTGTGAGTAGCAAAACACCTGCCAGGGCAGCTCCCAGCAGGGATGTCTGCTCTCCCGAGCGGAATTGGCTCCGGGCTCGCGGTGCCTGTCTGGAGGATCGGACTAAGAGCAGTGATGCTCAGCCGCAGCGCAGGTGCCCAGTGGTGGCAGGGTGACAGTCCTTGGTGAGATGGTGCTGGTGTGGATGGGAGCTGCATACAACACACGTTGTTTGAGCAGATGTGCCCTGTCTGGTGCTAATTATAAGTGTTTCATGCACAACACACACTGGGAGATGTGCCAGATACTCTTTCTTTTCATGTTGAACTCAAAAACATTATAATTAAGGTTTAAAGCTCTAAGTGAAAGCTAATGAGGAGCACAGGTTTGTAGTCATGCTGCTTGCAACAGGACTGGTGCCCACCAGGGCGAATGGGCGCTAAAGGCCATGTCCAGCACAGCATTTGGGGCTAGGAAGTTGCAGGGAGGAGCTGTGCTTGTCACGAGGAGCGCGAGGAGCTTGCAGTATGGCAAACGTTGAGAAACTTGGGGGGCTTGTTGTTCATTTGTTTGTTTTAAGATCTAAAAATACCGTGAATGTGCTGCTTTGCAGCTCCAGGAAGCATTCTGCTGCGCGAGCTTAGCTGTGCCTCCTGCCACGTGCTCCTTAAAAAGGGGGAATTATCACTAAAGTGAGAAGAAACTGTTTAGAGCCTGGCTTGGAAATGGGCTGATATCTGGATTTTAGGAAGACAAGCTGGTGTTTGCAAGACAAGGCGCAGGGCAGGAGCAGAGGGGCGCAGGCAGCGGCATCCTGGGCTCGCTTGAAAAGCCGTAACGTGCGGAGGAGCTTTGGGGGTGGCCTGGGGCACATGGACTGGGCTGTGGGGTTGCAGCCTTCTCCAGTGTCTTGTCCCAGTCAACTGCCCCTGGCGACCAGAGGAGCGTGCGGCGCTGTCGGTGCAGCGTTGTCGAAGAGACACTTGAGCCACCCACGATAAATAGGTCAAGACGGGTCCTGGTGTTTGAAAAATTAACTGTTGACCTAGATAGCGGCAGCGCCTGTCGGCAGCAGGTGCTGGAGCAAGTGGTGCATCCATCCCAGCTCAGATGGGACGGGATGCTCTGAGCAGCCCCCAGTTGGCGCGGCCAGGGTTCCCATGGGGTAGTTGCTGCGGTCCCTCCTGGTGCACTCTGAGTCCCCGGTCGCCTGTGTCCTGAGCTGAGGATAAGCTACCTGGCTATGCCATTGCAATATGGGCTGGGGATAAGTCATCCACCCATTCTGCAGCGCTCAGATGCACTTGGTAGCGCTTGTTCTCCAGAAAACTGATGTTCTGAAGCACCCTTACATTTCCCGCAGAGGCCTCCAGCCCCAGGCGCCACCCCATCACCTCAGCGGGGGACGTGGGGCTCGCTGGGCGCCGCTGAGGAGGCGCCTGGCAGGGCTGGCGCGCGTTCGCGCCGGCCCACGGCTCCATGTGATGCTTTGTCTCCCCCAGGCTCCTGCTTCTGGGTGGCCGTCCTGGACGGCAACGTGGTGGGCATCGTGGCGGCCCGAGGCAACGAGGAGGACAACACGGTGGAGCTGCGCCGCATGTCCGTTGACTCCAACTACCGCGGCAAAGGCATCGCCAAGGCCCTGGGCCGCAAGGTGCTGGAGTTTGCCATGCTGAACAACTACTCGTCCGTCGTGCTGGGAACCACGGCCGTGAAGATGGCGGCCCACAAGCTCTACGAGTCCTTGGGGTTCAAACACGTGGGTGTCGTGGAACATTATGCCCTGCCGGGGATGACGCACTCCTTACTAGAGAGGATGTTTTTCCAGCTCCGCTACCACCGCTACCGCCTGCAGCTGCGCGAAGAATAAAACCCAACCAAATGCACACACCCACCCACACACACACAAAATAATTTTTTTCCTTTTCCCACTCCTTGCCCTCAGAAAATAATAAATCTCCCCTCTCTCTCGTCGCAGTTTATTTGCCAAGCTCCTTCACTTTGTCCCCTCATCGCCTGCCTGCTTTGCCCTACGCTGCTTGGCCGTGCCGGGCCGGCTCCCTCCTCGCATGCCGAGCCTGGCGGGGCCGGGGGCCGTGGCAGCCCCGTGCAGCACCCGTCCCGCCAGCGCCTGCCACCCCGGCCCCTGCTCCTGTGTACATAGCCCTTCTGGTCCCTCTTCCAGGTGTAAGATAACATAGCGATGCATTTGCAATAGCGCAGAAATATTACTTGAATGCAGTTTTGGTATCTCATGCACCAGTAAGTAGAATATGCATTCGTCTTGCCCTGATTTCCTGGTTATTACTTTTCAAAGAAAATGTGGAGAGGAAAAAAAATTAAATCCAACCAGCCAGCCTACCCGTGTGCTCCAGTGCATGAAGAAGAAGCGCGTGCGCGCACTCGACCACATAGCACTGCTGCCGCCGTGGCGCTCGTTGCACTTTTTTTGTTTGTGCTTTTTGGTTTTTTTTTTTTTTTTTTTGGATGTGCCTCATTTTGCCAAATAACCTGTGGGAACCTCGGTGCATCCCCGCCCCGTGACTGCTCCGTCCTCATCCTCCTTCCTAAGCCAGCAAGCAGACTCGAAGCGTCTGGACTCGGCCCCATTGTACCATAGTGTGACGTGAGAGCGAAGCATCTCCCGCGCTGCTCCGCGGCCACGCGCAGCCTGCACGCCCGGGCCAGGCGCCGCATGTGCGTTGGACTTCCTCGTTGCTGCCTTTTTGGGGTGTGTTCTTGGATTCTTTTGTTTCTCCTTTTTTCGGTTTGTTTTTATTTTTGGTTATTACGTTTTTTTTTTCCCGTTTCGGCTTTCGCTGAATGGTGTCTTTGAGGCATAATGGAGGCTGCAGTTCCTATGGCAACACATTTGCACATTAATGTGCACACGGAATCTCGACACTTCGGAGAAGCCATGTGTGATGGATAATAGCGTTTGGGGGGTTCGGGGGGGGAACGTACTTATTATCTTAACCAGCTGCTTGTTTGATAAATGTAGATGGCCTCACTGCAGCCTTCCATAAAAGGTAATTAACTGCTTTAATGATGTCAGATTTGTGAATTGTACAATGCAAAAAGCAATGCAAAGCAGATTCGGCATGCGTCTGTACCCGGTATGTATGTACAGTGCCTGCCAACTAAAGATAACCAAGACTACAGCTTCTTCTAGCCTGAAGTATCAACTTTTATAACTTATTTAAACAAATAGTAACTTTGCATGAGTTATGGCTTGGGGAAGAAAAAGCAGTAGGTTTTAACTTTAAAAACATGGTATCAGAGGTAAAAAAAGAAAACATTTCTGGCTGCACTTAATTTGGGGTTGGGTGGAGGGTTTCAGCTATGTTAATACATTCAAAGGGAAAAAAATCTTTAGTTCAGAATTGGGTTACTCTTCTGTGAAATATTGTGCGTATGGGGGAAAAAAACGTTTATCATGATGGAATTGATGGAAAGGGGAGAGCATATGTCAGTCATGCTTGTATTGGGAATGCTACAAAAGCCTCAGCGTACGGAGGAGCGCTCGGGAAGGGAGGCCGAGGGCGACGCAGGGGCCCGAGGGGCAAGTCAAATTGGGGGCAGAAGAGGAGGGAAGAGGCAGCCGGGCCTAGGTGCAGCGCGTGGGATGCAAAAATCGGCCCAAAAAGCTGCCGCGGAGCCTGGGCTCCCTCCTCCTGGGCGGTCGGGCCAGCAATAATGGGAAGGATGAGGATGATGAAGGGCGCTATAGCAAGAGGCGGCGAGTTTCCTTAGCAAAACTGCTTTGCGGGGTACTATATTTTTTTTAAAGAAAAGTCTTTCTATGCTGTACATTTCTCCTGATGCTGAAATAATGTAATGTTGGTGGGGGGGGGTTGTATAGTGTACAGAAATGGGCAGAATATTTTCTTGCTGCTTTCGGTGATTTATTAACCTGAGTAAAATAGATAAATATAAAAGCATTAGCAAAAGTGAAAGAGAAAAAAAAAACACACACAAAATTTGTGCCTTTTTTAGTTTATTTTTCTGTTGCTATATAACCACTGCACTAAAACCTTTCCAGAGGAAAAAAGAAATACTAGTCTCTTAATAAGGGAGGAATACATAAAGCCTAAATTTAGCATTAATTCTTTTATTGGGATATTTAATTGAATGTTGCTGGTTTTATTTGAAACCTGTGCCTTTGTCAGAAAACGCTATATCCCGTCAGAAGCACCCAAACTGGAATGAATCCCACCAGATCCCACAGACATGGAAGTACCATCCACTTACCAGTATTTCTTTTAAAATGTGTAAACTCTGACTATTACAGTATCTGATCACGCTCCCTGTTGAGTTGCCTGAGGAAGGTGCTTTTAAAAAGTGCAATTTGGAGCATTGCCCACATTGGGGAGCCGGGGCGGCCTGTCCCGGTACCCTGCTTGGTGGCCACGAAGAGTTTCCAGCCTTCCTTGGTAAATGTTTCCACGTGTCGGTGGAGGATGTGCCGAAGGTGCACGGGAAGCTCTGCCTGTGGGGCGCAGCGCCTGCTTTTCCTGGCGGCACCCGCGATGGGTTGTCCTAGCGCTGCGTGAGCATCCTCGGCGTGGGAGGGCTGGGCAGGGCCGTGGTCCCGCGCGGAGGCTCCGTGTGGGCCCAGCGCTCTCTGTGCAGGCACCTCTGTGGAGCAGCGGGAGCCTTGGTGCTGCTGCGGCCCAAGGTCCCCGGCAGGTCCTGCTGCCATCTCGAGCACGTGGCATCCCCAGGACACGTAATACTGGCAGTGAGCTCTGCAGGGAGCTTAGGCCCTCACACAGCGAGGCCAAGAATGCTGAGTAATGTAAGCAGCGAGGAAAGTGCTCTCTGATCCCCGCTGAAACCCTGGAAGCGGTGCTGCCCCCAGCCCTGCCGGGTTTTCCCTCCGCAAAGCGTCCAGCCCCTGCACGACGCGCAGCGATGGCGCGGGCAGCTGAGCGCTCCGGCGAGCTGCCCGTCGCTCCTGCCACAGAAACGCCCGGGCGCTGCCCTCGATCGCCGCGCGGGGCTGGTTGTGTCCTGCTTGCATTGCGGCTCCCCTGGGGTTTGCCAGGCCTTGGCCCCGTCCCGCACTGACTCCAGGCCCCGTGGTGGGGAGGAGACCCCGCTCGGTGGGCTGCCCCACGCGGCGGTGTCCCCGTGGGCCGCAGTGCTGCCAGCCCCTACGAACCCACGTGCTGCTTCGGGTCGGTGGTTTGTACAGATGCACCATGAAGTGTCTTTGGAAAGACGCGTGTCTGACGCAGGCTGGGTTTAACCGTAGGACAGCGAGACTGTCGTGATGCTCGGGGCACTTCAGGTCTGTAGCACTGACCTTTGCTGTGAAAGGTTGTTCCAGGCAGCGTTACGTGGGGTGTGAGTGGCGCTGTGTGACGGCAGGGCTGGTCCCTGTGTTGCTGCAGAAGCCGGGCCGCGCGCTCGGAGCCGGCTCCCGAGCGCCGTGTGCCGCTCATGGCAAAAACCATCCACGAGAGGAAAAGGAAGCACCCAGGCTCAGCACATCCCTGTCGGGCTCAGGCCCGTGCGTCCCCCTCTCCTCCCCTGCCGCGAGAGCAGAACGAGGCCCTGGGGGCTACGAACAACAACGAAAGTCAGTGAAAGCCACATGGCTGAAATCCCCGTGTGAACTGCAATTTTACTAAACCTTCTCACTGTATTTGCTGCCATCCCTTGCCCCACTGAACCTTACCCACCCACCGTGCAAGTCTTCTGCCTTTTAATTTGCCAGTGTTTTTTTTCTGGCTAAGGTGCAAATGGATAGAGACTGACTGCAGGGATTTCACAGTTGCCAAACACACAAGGGCAGGAACCAGCTCCAGTTACCTCTGAATTAACCCAACTTCAAATTTGCTGGGAGCCTGTGTTTCATTAGCGCTAGTTTAATGCTGCTGGTATGCACTCTCAGTTTAAAGAAGTCTAATAAAAGCATTTCAGTTGCACACTTAACTGGAGTCCTGTAGTAGAATATACCGTGCCATGTGGAGGGAACGAATGGATGCAAAGTACTGAACAAGGTCATTTTCTCCTTTCTTTCTTACTCAAACTATCTCCACACAGACCCTTAAGCAAAAAAAAACCCTGTAAGCTCTTGCATCCTTAGTAAGGGAGGCTATGCACAGAGTTTATCTCCCACTGAAAGAAAACGCTACCTGCATCCTCATTTTGAGTAGCTTACATATTGCAAATAAAGGAAGCCAGAGAATAATTTGAACAGCAGAGGGTTTAGTTAAAACACAGTATCATTTAAAACAGTGAGCTCTAAGTCAGCATTTGGAGTTCAAGCACTGTTTCCAATTACTGCTCAGTCTGGTCTTTGTGTTACCCAGCGGTCAGCTGGGGAAGAACATGCTTTTAAACTCTAAATAGGAGTTTTAGGCTTAGGTCAAAACATGGGAGTTTTTGAGACCAAGAGTGTAAAAGAAACATAATGCAACTGTAAATTTATTTACACATAACATGTTTGAATGCGGACGCAGCTACTGCTATGTAAGTGTAATGAGCATATAGCTAACATGGTTTTCACTTTCTTTTCCTCCAAAGCTTAGACTTTTGACTTACAATATGTATATTTGCTTTTTTAAAACTATATGATTAGGTTTAACAAAGCATCCCTTGCTTTGTGGGTTGTACTTACGATTGTGCTGGGCTGTTAGCTTTAAGCCATTTGTGTGCTTGTGTTCTTTCATGAAAGCAAAAGTCTCCTTGAGACAAATGCGGTAAAGGTGAAAAATCTTTTTTTTTTTTTTTTTTTTTTTTTTTTTTTTTGTAGTGCTAAGCAGAGTGTGTGGAATGTGTTTGGAAAATGTCCGATGTCAGTTGAGAAAAAAAAAAAATGGGGCTAAATTGCTTAACAGAACTGCTCATGTCTAAGGCAGTGGCTTTTTAGCACATGGGTTACGGGTTTGATTCATGCC